AAGACTGAATTTGGCCTTCTCCCAATGGCTCCATATACACATCAATCATATATTTAGCTTTTAGTTCCAGTAGATATTGTAGGACACTGGGGAAACACAAACTTAAAAAAAAAATCTGTTGAGGTTTAATAGGCCAACTTGTTATGAAACAAAAGTTTCTGGTTCATCCAATAATATTTAGCAAAGTGATATGTTGGCATTTATATATTTTTTTTAAAGGTTTATCTTTGTTTTTTGTTTTTTTTGTGCCTTTATAGTAGAGATAGGAAAGTGAATGGGACAGAGTGTGTCACATGCGGGAACGGAGCCACAGGTCGGATTCAAACCCGGGCCGTCCGCTTTGGAGGACCAGTCATGGGGCGCATGCACTAACCACCTGCGCCCCGCGTTGAATCTTTATCTTCATGTGTGATACATCTCTACTTTCTACCTGACAGACATTCGAGAGTGTAGATGAATGATGATCAATGCAGCCCTGATTTAGTCAAGCTCTCTGTGCTTCAGCTAACTTAATGAGGTTGCATGTTTAGTTGCATGGAATGACAACAAAAGCTAAAACCTCCAGTGTCTTCTGTTTGTGCATTTTGTTCCTGAGCTCCATGACATTTGGACTTCAACATGAAACACAGTGGAGATTAATGTTCAAACCCTCGTACTTTGGAAATGTCTGTCTTTTATTTAAAATGTGTGACTAACATCAGCAGACTAATGCAGAGAACACATAAAAGAGAGAAAATGTTATTATCCTTCCTCGTCTCGTACTGGCGGGGCTTTGTACGACACAGAATTACAGCCCCCCAGAATCTTTTTCAAACGCCGGCTTCATCCCGCTGATATTCCCTCAGGGAAATTAAGGATTAGCTCAGCCTTTCAAACAGGAATTCCTCAGTCAGTTTGTTTGAATGTGCCCCCTCCCAAACCAAATCCACTCTGTTTTTTTGCCCAGTGCCCTGCTCCGGGCCTAAGCCCCGTCCCTCGGTTAGGTTGGTTGTGAGCCGTAGTAAGAGGATGAAGTGGATTGTCGAGCACCACTCTGACTCATGCCCTTGAGTGCCATGCTGCCAAAACGCTCAGAGAGTAACACTTTGACTGCACTTAGAGCTGCTACTACAGGCAGCTCTGCTTATAGCAAACTGAAGTACGTGACACTGACTAAATGTAATGAGCAGACAGCCTCATTCTCTCTGCATGCCCATGATTTTGATTGGATTAATTAACAGCAACGGCCCCTGATCAGATCTGTAATATTAAGACAGGAGAATCCATATTTAGCGTGACATCATACGTGTGGTTGGTGATGCACTGCAGTGCTGTTCCGTTTCCTTTGGTCACGTTGCTTTAGTGACACAATCTTTGTGTTTCTGGGTCAAACATCTGGCAGTGACACACAACAGTCATGACTGCTGAGGAGGACCAGTGTGCAAAGCCATCCAAATGTCAGCCTCTATCCCAGATGTTTGAAGTCGTGTGTTGTAAAATCCTGCCACATTGTCTCTACAAATCGGACTTACCTGCAAATATTGTAATATTTGATTGCATTAAATGGATTCATTCAAAATCAAAGATGGAATTTCATCCATTCAAAGTGAAAACAACAATCCATTTTTTATCATATTTCAGATTAGCCGATCAATCTATCCACAGGCTGATGTGTGTTTAAATACCTTGATATGAAAGAAAAACATGTTTTTTCTTCAAATATCTGGGAATATTCAGGAAAAAAATGTTTTCAAATAATATTTTTTACATCATTTTTGAGTTGAAATAAATGTCAAATCAATGACACTGGTCCATGATATCCTCTGATATGATGTAATGCCCTCTTGGCCAGGTCACCCTTGTGAAAGAGATTTTCATCTCAGTTGGTTAATTATTACGTGGTTAAATAAAGTAATAAAATAGAAGATATATTCATGGGCCAATCCAGTAATGTCATACAAAACCACATTTTAAATTCAATTTCTGGCCCCTTAATTAACGAGGATCAAAGTAGGTTTTTTTGGTGATATCTGCAAATTGTTATAATAATACATGTTGTGATGAAAGAAATGTTTTACATGCTTTTTTTTCCCACTGACAACATTTTAGAACTGTATCCACTCTACTGTATGTGAAAGATAGGCTATAGTGTTACTGAAGAGAAGAGTAGATATCCTCATGTGCAGCATGATGTGACAATCAATGCAGTGGACTCACTGTGTCATGTTCAGCATCATACTCACATGGCGCACCCTCCTGCATTTACTCGTGTAGATTCTGTGTCTGAAAATGTTAGATTCCCTCTTCGCAGTCTCCCCTCTGTTCATGTTTATGTTAATTTGTTTATGGGGGTTTTTTCGCTGTAAGCCCTTACATAACTCTTTATCTAGGACAGCAACTGGAGGTCTGTTTCAGTCTCACTCCCCCCCCGTTTGATGTGCTCAGCGTCCATGCACAGGACGGTGCTCTTAACTTGAGACTTTGTGACTCGTGCTGGAGTAAAAGTGACAAAGTGTGAATGTGTGTTGCCTGTCTCTTAACAGCTGACACGATCACAGCTCACACATTTTACCCCCCCCTCCCACCCCCTCGTCTTCTGACAGAAATTTTATCAATCCACAACGTTTCCTCCCACCACATTTTCCCGCTCCAGTATTTCCTCCTAGCACACCCTGCTTTTGATGTCCCACGTCTTCTTCACGGCTGCCGGCCTCGGTACGATGAGACTCAGAAGGCGTGCTGAACGAAATAAACGGCTTAGGTTATGACTAGTGTGGAGTGGTTGCATCCCTGTGTGTCTGTGCTCTGTCAGGCGCCATTGTTCTGCAGGGCTACAGAGCCCTCCAAGACACTTATTTAATGAGACGGCTCGGACTGTGTAATTGCAGGCTGTTCTGAGAGCTATTATTGGCGATGTATTTTAAGGGGGCCAAAGCAGCCATTACTGCGACAAAAGCCGGCCGTTTGTGTGAAGCTGAAGTCACACAGCAGCACTGGAGCTAATGCTGCCACACTGTTGACGCTGATTCAATCAGGGATCAATACATTGTGTGTCTATGAGTGTTTTTATGTCCTGGAAAGGATCACCATGTTTTTTCTACCCTAAAAAGACGTATTTTCTTTTCTTTGGTGGAGTCTCAATTCTTAGAAGTTACTCACTTGCATAGAAATCTGCCTGCCCTGTAATAATTCATGACGTTATCCTGCTTTCCATTGAGATAGTTCCCATTGAGATAGTGTTCTATAATGTATCAAAAGCTCAATAAATGGTTTAAAACGTCTTTACTTTTAATATTTTCTTTCCCATTCATGATTGATTCTCTGTGAGGCCCAGCGGTTTTGCTCCCATTCCCTTTCTGTTTGTCAAATGACTCTGCCCTCAGATATTTGATGCACTAGTGCTGGGATTTCCTCGTCACATGATTTATTTAGGATGTGTTAAGGTCTTTTCAGAGAGCCTCACATCCCCAGTCTTGGCACTCCGTCGCACCAGACAGCCTTTAGCTTCTTAACTCACTCTGTCCATCTCTCTTTAACTACCTCCCTCTATCATCCTTCTCCGTCCTCCTCACCACAGCGGGGGGCATTTTTTTTTTTTTTTAAAGCAAATTAAAAGAAACAAACCAATCTGAGCTGACAGCTGAGTTCAGATCAAGCTGAATGAGAGTGCTGGGCCAACCCTGGCATAGCTTCGTCTTTACCCTCTTCACTGCTTTTAGGCTCCGTCCCAAGGCTTTGTTTTGTTGGTGCTTACACTGCATAACAAAAAGCCTATTCTTCTTCAGGACTTGACCTAGAATAATCAGGAGGCGGTTGCATGGAGTTACTGTAAATGAGACGTAATTAGCTCATCATAACTGCTGCTCAGTTGTGGGAGTGTTTCTTCCCCTTGCTGCTTTTCTGGTTCAATGCTGCAGTTGGCTTTCGTTCTTATACTCACACTTGTGTCTGTAGAGACAAAAAGAGGGAGAGAACATGAGTGCACACCTTCACCTGTGTAATCGAGACTTTACAGAGGGTAAGGCAGTGTTTGCTTTAGATTTTGACCGATATGGTCATACCGATACTGATACAGATCTTGGAGGGGACAAAAACCCGTATTGCCAATATCACCACCATCATCATAACCTTTTGCCAATACAGCACCAAATCATAAGAAAAAGTTATTTCATGACACTACCATTCAATTAAAATGTTATTGTGACATAAACAGTTAGTTCAGTGCTTAGTGAAATGTTTCAGTCACCTGAAAGTCAGTCGAGGAAATATAAAGGTTTATTTATTGATAAAAAAAACTCTGAAGAGTCACAAAAAAAGACAGTTAAAGATATAACACACAGAGTAGAAAAAAAAGTGGTTTATCATTATAATTTAAGAGGTGTGGTAAAGACTACTTAAATGCGGGAATGCAGATGGTCTAGCGGTTATTTCGTGCGCTCCATGTACAGAGGCTGTGGTCCTTTTAGCAGCGGCTGTGGGTTTGAATCTGACCTCTGACCTTTGCTGAATGTTATCCCCCACTCTCTCGTCCCAACATTTCCTGTCTCTCTTCAGCCGTTCTATCCAATAAAGGACCCAAAATGAACTTAGAAATAAACTACTTAAATGTGTGGTGCAAAAAAGTAAAGTAAAAAAAGTTTACAATAAAAGCAGGTCAAGACTGTTATTTCAGATGATAGACACCAAGCTGATGATTTGGCATTCATTTTGCACTGATATGACTATAAAGGGGAGTAGAGGTCTGATATCCCCCCAAAAAATCACTATGTTTAAGAATACTTTTAGGTCTGTCACTGTCTTACAAGCAAGTGGGAGTGAAACCATTTCTGAAATCAAACCAAGCATTGTTGTCTTTATATTCTATGAAAAAAGATTTCAAACAAGTCAATATTGGTCATTTTTCTGTGATTGGCAGTTATCGGCCCAAAATATCGCCTGACAAGTTATATCAGTCAAGCTCTATGTTGTTTCGTGGAAATGTGTTGTTTCTTCCTAACGGTCCTCTCTCTTTTTCCTCACAGTATCTGGAGAGGCCCTAATGTGAACTGTGTGGACAGCACTGGATACTCCCCCCTCCACCACGCTGCTCTCAATGGACACAGGTACACCGGTGATAAATAACTCTGGGAATTGGGAGAAACGTCTGTGTGTTGGGAGCCAGTCTCAGGCCCTGTGTATTAAATGAGTTCTCCACGCTCAGACAATTGTCCCACTGGGAAGATAAACATATTGATTGGCTGCTTGTTAAGGCAGTGTGTATTTATAACCGTGGTTTATAGAATGTCCATTTGCTGACCTGACTTAACCGGTCCCCATCTCTGTCTGCAGCGAGGTGGTGGAGGCGCTGCTACGAAACGAGGCCTTGACCAACATCGCCGACAACAAGGGCTGCTACCCTCTCCACCTGGCTGCGTGGAAGGGTGATCAACATATCGTCAAACTACTCATTCACCAAGGACCTTCACACCCCAAACTCAACGAGCAGGTCTGACGCTGCATTTGACTCTTCTGTTTAAATGTGTGCGTTGTGGTCTTTCTGTTTCACTCTTATGGTTCCTGTTTCAAAACACATGTAGCATACTGATGGTATCTTGGTTTTGTAAAGTAACGTCAGCACTAAATTTGCAGTCATTTCAGTCATTTGAGAACATTTGACATTTAGCACTTAAGCAGAAGCACCATTAAAAATAAAGAAATATGAGGAAGTAACGACAGAAGGCTTACTTCTCAGCACATTTGTTGACCTGTAGTAGTTTCAATATTGCAATTCTAAAGGCTTAGTCAGCAGTCATATGTTGCTGATAGTGCGTCCTTTAAATAAGGAGGAAAAGCTCGATGGAAATGTTTCCGATCCTTAATCAGCATGGCATGCTCTGTACCGTAAAATGAGCAAAATGAATGGGACCAGAGTCCATTAACATCAGTGCATCATGAGCCTGACTCAAACTGTGACATCTGAAGCGCTTTGACACCATGCTAGTGTGATTAAGTGCCTGTTTGCACTAACCATTTTAACCGTTTTTGTTCCATGTCTTGGTTTGGTTGCTAACTGCAGCATCCAGAAAGTCATCATCTCTGCTCTGTTCTGTTTGGGATGAAGAGAAATGACCCATTATGAGCACTGAACCATAACATTAAATCAACCAAAACACAAGGATGTAGCAAAAAAAAGCCGACTTCATATGGAAGTCCATTTGTCTCATGGTGTGTCATTTCTCTCTTCCTGTTCATGATTGTTCATTAACTCAACCCTGTTATATTTTTTCTCTCCTTTTTATTCAGTTTGACTCATTTGTGATCATCATTCATTCGTTCATTTGCTTGTCTGATCCAAAACCATCGGCTATGTTCTCTTCCTCTCTCCCAGAGCTCTGTAGACCATAAAGAGTTCAAACGCTGTGGGCCCTTTGACCCCTATATTAATGCCAAGGTGTGTACACGGTGCTGCTGAAACAACATTACCTTTTGAAGTGCTTCTTTGCTCTACTGCTATGCTCTGCTGTGCTCTTGCTTTGGTGTGGTTTGTTGCTGCTCTTTAGGGTTGGGGGTTGGGGTACGGGGAGGCTTGTTTATCTGCTGCTGGCTATGTGCTCATGTTTGCTTTGGAGCTCCAAGTTCATTGAGATGTTTCATTTAACATAAGTTACGATGCTTTACAACATGCCCTCCACCAGAGAGGGTTAATACTCTGCTACATGTTAACAATACTTTAACAATACGTATCCAGCCTTTGGATTAGGGTTAGATTCAAATGAGTTCTCCTGAGTTTTCAGTTTTTCCTTGTGAGGGTCACATGGGAAGATTGGGGGGGGGGTCTGCATATAATAGTGTTTTCTTTCTGTAGTTAAATTTTTTTAGGAAATACTTTAAAATATCAGTCTGAAGCAGAGCAGTTTGATCACTCTTTGTAAAATCAACACGCACAAAAATCTAAAAAAGCAGGTCGTCAAAAAAACTACCTAAAGCATGACATCCTCTGTAATATTGTTCCAGGATACTGATGGTTGATGCTTATTGCTCCAATTTATTATGAGCTTCAACTGCATTGAGGGATAATTATTTTACCAATAACTTTTCTTCAGTTTGATATGAAATAATAGAATTAACACAGGTTAACCTCAATTCACACTGACCTATTTATAAAGTATAAAGTATTCACATTCACATACAAGCCTCACCTGTGACTTCGTATTAGGAGTTACCACATTTCATATGCTAACTGACCAAGAGAATGAGTTAATACGAAGCTTTACTTATTACAAGATAGTTTATTAAACTAGCGAAACAGCCAACAACCCCTCCATGTCCGCCAATGTCCTTCCAGTGTTGTCAGGAAGCCCCGCAGCTAAGTGTGATGGGTGTCACAGCCTGCCTCTGAATAGAAGTGTTCCACCTTTACATCTTCAAATAACATTAAGGTATTTTCAACACAAAGTTAAATAAAGCACAGTGATGAAAATGTGATTTTCCCAATTACTCTTTTCTTTATTGGTGTCTCTATTACTCTTGGATTACCCTTAAACCCCGTCATATCAACGACCTTGACTTCCAAGTAAATACATTTTCCCTCAATCACCCAACCGACAGCCATTTGTTCCAGAGGAGACATTGAAGAACGAAAGCAGAAGCCGACAGTCAAAACAAGACTGGTGTCTACTTTTATGGCAGTTTCTGTATGATGTTCAAAACGGTACCCACCTGCAAATACAGAAAGGGTTTGTGTAGGATTGTGAGGCAAATGGAGTAGTGATGATGAGTGTTTGTTAACAGGAAATGACGTCCACATTATAATGTTGATGGTCGAAAAGAGAACCAAAGCTTAAAACTGCTACAGCAAAGCAAACAATATGCATCACCTTAAATTCAAGTGCACAAAAAAATGACAATTGACACATTGGTGCGACTTAAAGTAGCGAACCCAAAGCCTTTTAAACAAAGACTAACTAGCCAATCAAGCTACTCTTGCATAGAAAACAAAGCAACAAGAAAGCTCACACCAACTGAACAGAACAAATCATTAGTTGTTACCCTTATATTATCAAGACTCTACTACTACTTCTTGTAAAACTTTAGTAGTTTATCCTCGTCATTGCATTAGCCCTGCTAATATTAGCAATTAGCCAAAAGCCTCAATGTGCGTTAGCCTTACAGTGCTGCTAGCGTGGCTGCTGTCTCTTAGTCTTGTTAACAAAGTAGTTTGATGCATTTTTTTTACCAAAATACTACAGGAATGAATCATAAGACCATAAATGTGTTAGCATTTCCTTCACTTTTGGTTCTCATGGCTTGAAGTTGATGCATGTTGTATTGCTTTTTGGTTCGAAGTAAAGTAAGTCTGTGGTGAACACATGGACTAAACAATTTAACCTTTTTGTACACCTCTTGAATAGTAAGATGCTAACATGTAGCTATGAAACGATAGAGTTAGCGTAAGATAGCACGCTAAACATGGACAATCAAACGACTTTGAATCTTGGTGATAGTGTCATTAACATTTTGTGACTGTGGTGTTCTTTGTTTAGAGCCTTTATATAGGCTGTCTGCTTCTGGGAACTGCATTTATAGTCAAACATATCACAACAGCTGTGTTCATTTCTCAATATTGTTGTGCTAAACAAAAATGTAACTATTCTAACCTTTTGTGTTTTGGCCAGAGAGATATTCTGCAAAAATCCAAAATGCAATGTAAGCATTCTGTTGGCTTTTTGTGGAGGAGACGAAGGCTATGCTAACTTAAGTGTTGGCCTAAAAAAAATATATAGCCGTCCCTGCAGCACTCTATTCAAAGTTCAGTGGGTTAAGCCCAGGAGCATGGACCCAAGGTTTACTTTTTGTCTCTTATTTATGTGTGCATATATTAATACATCAGCTTGAGCACCTCTCTCTTTGCATTGAGCTGCACAGGGAAGCCCACACTATCATGGTGTCTGCATGAGGAGACATACTGGAGCTGACAGAGTCTCTGACAGTGTCACCCTCACAGTTAGAGCAGTTCCAACATTTTGGGTGCTTCATGATTGTGTTTTGTGCAGGCAGAGCTGTAAACCCAGCAGGCCTGTAGATAAAGCTGCACACTATTTTTGAACATTGTCACATTTCCCCTGGACTAATCTTCTTAGCGTTTGGATGAGAGGGCTGGATTTCTCTAATGCTGCTGCAATATATCGGACCGTGAATTGCCCCCTTTTCTTTTTTCGACATACAATCTGAGGGATTTAACTTGGTCTGCGTAGATTATGGATGATGCTTGTAATGTAAACACGTTCAGGATAGTTTTGGGACCGCTACCTGGTCATAACCCTGAATAATTGAAGCTTTGTTATGAATAAATAACAAATGTGGATGTTCCAGCCGTGGTTGTGGTCATGCTTGATGGCATCACGTGACCGAGTGGGCGGGGTGCGCCCTGCCTCCCCTCTCATCATTCAGAACCAGAGTGCCATCTCATGAGGAGGAGGAGGAGGAGGAGGAGGAGGAGGAGGGGGGGGAAAGGATGGGAGGGTTTCAGTGTACCAGTCTTTCTGCATTAGCATCAAAGATACTTCCATGCCATGCGTGTGTGTGAGTGTGTAAATGGCTGTACTTGCCCCCCCCCCCTCTCTTCTCCCCACCTCGCAGTTTGTGCCTGAAAGCTCTGATGCTGAAGAGAAGAAGAGGTGGGACGTTGTCATAGTAACAGTGGCACAGCTCATTGGTGGTACAGTGGTGGTTGGTGACCCAGTGGTGTTTGTGCTGAGTGAGACACGAATGGCATCTGATGAGGCTTCAAGGGGATTCAGGACTCTTGGACCACTGAGGCTTCAGTCATCCAGGGACACTCTAGATTTCAGCCTGAAGTGGATCCAATTCTTTGTCATCCTAATTCAGAAAGACCAATGTGTCTTTATTTATACCTCTGTGCTAGCCTCTAATATCAGTGACCTGATTCTTTTAGCCTCTTTGGAAGTTCTGAATTTCCCAGTAAGGGAGAGCGAACCACTACAGCCGAGACTAGACCGAGACCGAGCCCCAATATGAACATTACACAGGTTCAGTGACACCTCAGTGAAGTCATTGACACATGAGCTGTTATTAAAAGGTCTTACACTGATTAATTTAAGGGCTACAACTAGTGATCACTTTTATTGTGGGTTATTTTGTTGATTATTTTCTATGGTAATTGATTATATGGTTTATGAAATTTCAGAAAATTATGAAACGAAACAGATATTTTCTTTGAGGAAAAGCCAAATGTAACTGCAAGAAAACATCAAGCCAAAGAATGAAAATTGAATTTAAAAAGAACTCAGAAAATTACTTTTGAATATTTGTTTGTCATGTAACATAAATAAATCTTGACTCATTTCAGTTTTTTAATTTTTTTTAAATGAAAGTAAGGAACTTGTTGTTTGCACCAATTTTAGCACCCTCTTCAGCTAACTTCTGCTTCCCTCTGTAGTGTCTGGAAGCGTTGTTTGAAATAGATCTGTGTGCTTTATGTGTTCCTTTATATAAAACATATAAATATAGTAAATTAAAGACAACGTAAAACAATCCTATCCTCGCAGCTCTAGACCTGGAAATACACCTTCAAAAAGACGAGTTCATTTGTCTTCCGCCATTGTTGTTGACAACGCGGATGTCAGTAGTCACACCTCTTCTTTGTTTTGATTGGTCGGTGAGGGAGAGGTCACATTGACGGACTCGGCTGTGTCCTAAAAGTTGAATTTTTGCGCTGCTCGGAAAGTGCGTACCTGTATTGGTTTTGTATCGAGACTCCCTGATGGCATATGGGTCATTTAAAAAGTATCTTCCTCTTATAACAATGTGAGTTTAAAAGTGGTAAAAAATGTTGATGAGAAAATTAATGTGACAAAATGTTTTGTTTTGTTAAATTAAAAGCTAGAGGTAGAGACCATTTGAATGAATGATATCGTCATTGACCTCTGTCTATGTTAATTACCATACATTCTGTGTTTTTCTCTAATAGCAGATAGCCCTTAGTCAGCCCACACTCGTATCACGCTACATCTCACCCAGGCTCCATCTTCCTATATAGGTCACATGTCTAATGCAATATATGTTTTAGACGAGTTCCTCTGACCCAGGCTCGCATATCCTGATGCTCTGACATTACCTCCACTGTGGTCTTTAAAACCAAATAGGATACAATTAATGCTCAAGAAATGTCAAATAGGTGGCATTTCATAGAAATAAAGGAGAAATATTTAGGTTTCTGGAGGAGATGTGCTCAGACTGGAGAGGGGTCATGTGTCTTTCTGTCAGGCTTGGTCTTCTCTATCTTTAAGGGCTGACATCAGGAAAAGTTTCTGTTGGCAGCTGCAGGAATCATTTCCTTGGACTTGGTCACCTCATTATCAGAAGAGCAGAGTTTCCCCCTCCTTCCTGCAGGCACAGAGCTCGAAGCCTGCCAGCTCGCTCATTTATCCC